GACCGACGTCGCTGGCTGACGCAGAAGAGAGTGGTGAAGTTTCTGCGTAGCGCGTAAGGTGATCGATAGCGACGATTACCCAGTGATTTCCAGCCGGTGTAATCGGAAGAGGTCCATACAGATCAATACCAACACAGTCAAACGGTCGGGCAGGACAAGGTAAGGGTTGTAGTGGAGCTGGGGAAGTTGGAGTGGGATTCTTCCGGCGTTGACAAGCGAGACAGGAACGTACGTAGCGACGGACGAAGCGATACATTCCACGCCAGTAGTAGCGGTGGGACAGGCGGGTGTAGGTTTTTAACACTCCGGCATGGGCGCATTGTGGGTCGGCGTGAAAGGAGGCGCATATGTCTGAGCGGAGACTTCTGGGAATGACTAGAAGCCATTGGCGTCCTTCGGAGAGATAATTACGTCTGTATAGCAAACCATCTCTGATAACGAAGTGCTGTATTTGACGGCGCATACTTCTAGGGATATTTTGCGAGGGAGTTCGATTCAACAAGTTGATAAGTGAAGCGATCCAAGGATCTTTTTGTTGCTCCTGTCGCATGTCACTGACACTAAGTGCAGATACGTCGGGGGCAGGCGAAGACGGCGGCTTGTCACTACATCGTAGAGGTGATCGGGACAACGCGTCTGCGTCGGAATGTTTTCGGCCAGATCGGTAAACGACGTGGATGTCGTACTCTTGTAGCCGAAGCGCCCAACGGGCAAGCCGGCTGGTGGGATCTTTTAACGAGGAGAGCCAACATAATGCATGATGATCTGTAACCACGCTGAATGGGCGCCCGTAAAGATATGGTCGAAACTTGCCTATGGCCCATATGATGGCTAGACACTCTTTTTCGGTGACTGAATAGTTGGCTTCTGCTTTTGTGAGTGCACGGCTGGCGTAAGAGACGACGTACTCATCAAATCCAGGTTTACGCTGGGCGAGCACAGCACCGAGGCCAACTCCGCTAGCATCCGTGTGTATTTCCGTCGGGGCAAGAGGATCAAAATGTCGCAGTATAGGAGGTGACGTAAGAAGGTGGCGGAGTGTGGCAAATGCATCATCACAAGCTGACGACCAACTAGAAAGGTCTTTGTTGCCGGCAAGAAGGTCAGTCAAGGGCGATATGATGGAGGCGAAGTTGCGAATAAAACGACGAAAATATGAACATAAACCGAGGAAGCTGCGAAGTTCTTTTAAGGTCTTCGGCTTGGGAAATTCGGCAACGGCACGGAGTTTCGTCGGATCCGGAAGAATGCCATCTCTAGATACAACATGGCCCAAAATGCGAAGTGCTGCTTCGGCGAGCGCCGAAGCAGCACTTCTTCAAGTTGAGCTGTAGACCGGCGGCGGTGAGGCAAGTAAGCACTGTCTCGAGCCGCTGAAGATGCGTTGAAAAGTCGCTTGAAAATATTACAACATCGTCTAAATAGCACAGACATGTCTGCCATTTCAGGCCACGGAGGATGTTGTCGATCATGCGCTCGAAAGTGGCAGGCGCATTGCAGAGCCCAAATGGCATGACGTTAAATTCATATAAGCCATCAGGGGTAACAAAAGCCGTCTTGGGGCGATCAGCCTCAGCCATGGGAACCTGCCAATAACCTGAACGCAGATCTAGTGACGAGAAGAACTCCGCGCCTTGTAAGCAGTCAAGGGCATCGTCTATGCGAGGTAGCGGGTAAACATCTTTGCGCGTGATCTTATTCAACCGGCGGTAGTCGACGCAGAATCTTATTGAGCCATCCTTTTTCTTGACTAGAACAACTGGGGAGGCCCACGGGCTGTTAGAGGGCTCAATAACACCTCGCTTCAACATGTCGTCAACTTGTTCCGCGATTATGCGACGCTCAGATGCCGATACCCGATACGGACGCTGACGTAAAGGAGCGTGAAGGCCAGTGTCGATTTCGTGAGATACAGTGGAAGCACGGCCCAAAGTCAGTTGCTGGTGGTCGAAGCTGGCACGGAAGCGCTCGAGGAGGGCGATGATGTCGGTGCGTTGCTGGGCCGTAAGGTTGGGGTCGATGCAGCGCGAAATTGCGTCGGTGAATGATGGGGAAGAGGATGACGCGCAGCAATCAACAGCATCAATAGGTAGCGTAGTCGAGTGGTCAGGAACTACACGTGCACTCGAGGGATCAATGTCATCGGCAAAGCCCAGGCACTCTCCGCACAGTAACTTGGAAGGCGAGGGAAACGGATTTGATACATAAATTGCACTTGATCCATCGTGAATATTCAGAACGGCGAAAGGAATCAGGAAGCACTTGCGGCGAACAGCGGTTACAGAAGGCGTAAAAAGAACAGTTGAGCCACTAGAGACGTCACAGGAAAGCGGAACTAGGGCGGACGAGAACGGGGGTATCGAAGTGTCGGCGGCGACGAAAACTTTTGCAGGTGAAAGGGACGAGTCGAGTGAAGCAGCGTCGCATAACGGCGCGAACTCCACTTCCGCGCGAGCACAGTCGATGACGGCATGATGAGTGCAGAGAAAGTCCCAGCCTAATATAATGTCATGGGAACACTGCGGGAGCACTACGAACTCGACGACATATATATTGTCAGCAATAACGACACGTGCTGTGCATGCAGCAAAAGGGCGAATTCGTTGCTCGCTCGCAGTGCTTAAAACGAAGTCGTGTAGAGGCATCGTGACTTTTTTTAGTCGACGGCAAAGTTTTTCAGTCATTACAGACACTGCGGCGCCAGTATCGACCAATGCAAAAACAGGTATACCTTCAACGGAGACAGCAACGACGTTGGACGGCGAAAAACAAGGTCTTGTGGAGTTCGAAAGATCCGCAGTTCTTGCCCCCAGAACCGCGGCTCCTAGTTTTCCTCAGGGACAGGGCGAGGTCGACGGAGCATAGGGGAAAGGGAACGGCGTTGAGGTGAAGGCGACCGGTGTCTGTTGAAGTTCCGGCGAGGTGAAAATGTGTCCATGGTGGTAGTCTCACCATATACAGCCGGCTCCGGTCGTGGGGGTAAATCATAATTGTTGGGCCTGACGTCGTCACGCAGGAAAAACTCACGCCGTCGACAAAATCGTGCCACGTGACCCGCAATTCCACAGGCGAAGCATATGGGGCGGTTGTCTTGAGTGCGCCAAGGGTTCTGAAAGCGTCGAGGTGGTGGTCGGGAGATAGGACGGGCAGCCTGGTACATAGGCTCAGTCGGTACGACAAAGGGACGCGTGGACGTAGGCGTTCGCGACAAAGAAACGTGGCCGTTCGCGACAGGTGGACGTCGGGTTCCGTTCAGTGCTTCGGCATAGGTCAATGGAGCAGCCACAGGTGGTGCGTGAGCTGTTGGTAGCGCCTCGGACACTTGCTCCTGGACTACTCGCTGTATTGATGGCGCTAAAGTAGATGGGGCACTTTCGGAGGTATAAGGCACGAGGGACAACTGGCGTGCGACCTCCTCTCGTACAAATTGCTTGATCTCGAGAAGCAAAGTGGTGTGATCTATAGAGCCAGCCGACGTTAAAGCGGAGATTGTTGCACATGGCGCGCTGGCACGACGAGTGGTGTCCCGCTGTTTCCAGAGCTCATCATAGCTCTGACACAGTTGGATCACTTCCGCTACCGTTTGCGGGCTTTTGGCGACAAGCATCTGAAATGCGTCGTCAGTCACGCCTTTCAAGATGTGTTTGATCTTCTCGGCTTCTGTCATGGCCGAGTTGACACGCCGGCAAAGGTCGACCACATCTTCGATATAACTGGTGTAATGCTCACCATTCTGCTGAGCCCTGGTACGCAAGTGCTGTTCGGCCCGTAGTTTGCGAATTGCTGGACGGCCAAACAAGTCCGCAAACGCCGTTCGGAAGGCCGACCAGGTGGGGAGGTCTCTCTCGTGATTACGGTACCACAGACTGGCGACGTCGGTCAGATAAAATTGGACGACAGTAAGCTTGTGTGCATCGTCCCACTTGTGCTTGCTCACCCGGTCGTATTCGTCGAGCCAGTCTTCCGCGTCTTTGTCATCGGTTCCACTGAAGGTAGGTGGATCGCGTTGCCGAAAGGAGCCAAGACAGACAGGAGATGCAGTAGTTGGAGCCGAGGCGGCCGCCTGCTGATCCTCGTCCGTGGACATCGTAGCAACTGGAGGCAACGTACGGTTTCGCAGTTCCAGGATTAGGCGTTACCCAGCACCTCCACCAATTATAATGAGGCGTTTTAGAGTTGCACTCTTTTATAAAACAGGAGAGCGGTCACGACACGTCAAGTGGTAATGGCGGAACCAGCCTGAGTCCCCAGCCAACCAAACGTCGTCTTCTTCACCGACTGAGTCATACCCCCTGCCCTTCTGAGTAGCATTCATCTTCTTCACTACAATATATATATATATATATATATATATATATATATATATATATATATATATATATATATATATATATATATATACCCTTCTTTCAGGCGCAATACAACACATGCTTGTACCACCCTGATAACAGCATTGACGTCGTGTGCAATCACCGTTCATGGCGATGGTGGGGCTTGGCTGCTGACTTGAAAGTCGGGGCAAATCAGTACAGGCCCATGTCTATATATAGAGACTTAGGTGTACGTGAGTCAAAATAACCGAGTCACCCACTACGGCATCTCTCAGATGATATCACGGTTTTCGGATGCTAAACTGTAACGTATCACCAAATTCAGTGCGTAAGGTTGGCTGAAGTATGGTTTGTTTCATGTCCTGTGGACGTGTCTGTGAACATAAGTTACTTAAGTTGCTAATGAAGTTTGTGAATGCTAGTTAGGCGACGGTCATGCCCTTCGGTCAGAACCGCGAATGTGTATACGTGTAAAGCGTTATTAATGTGACAAGTGCAACGTGTGGCCACTTACTATAGGGCTCAGTATTTCGAAGTGTACATGGCGCCAGCGTATCGCAGTCTTGAGCTTTCGGTTCCACAACCTCGCGAAACAGACGTTGCACATCACGATCGCGATTGCCCATTCGCGTTAGGCCTAACGGCTGGGACTGCATGGGCCGTCGCCAGGACTGGACCCTGCCGGTCCTTTATTCTACAGGATGCCCCCCGATGTCCGGCTGGATCCGACCGACGCCAACTTCGTCGACGTCATCCACTCGGATGCCAGCAAGCCGTACTTCCTTATTGAAGGTCAGTGCTCTTTTACCAGAGTGTAAAACCCCGCTGAATAGTCAGGTGCAATCACAGCATATTTTCGCACTTTGGTGTGCCCTGGTACTGCCTCTGGATAGGTAAAGTGTCACAGTATTATAGTGGTGCACTAGCTGACACAGACGAAAAAGACTGAACGAGAAGAACGCTCATTTTCAACTGTAGGTTAGGCAAAGAAAGCTTTAGCATAAATTGAGGTGATATTGGGACTTGCATGTGTCCGTTAATTGTAGTAAATACGAGTGATTCTTGAAGCAGCCCTGTTCAACAGGAACGGTGATATTTGCGTGAGTTGCCCTTTAATGGCGATGACTACAAATGAATCGGACGCGGCAGGTTTCGATGCACGTTGATTGGACCTTTTTTCGTGTACGAATGGAAATACCATCGGATATGCTAACAATAAATAATTGAAAGTTCACGCTTTACTCATGCTGTCTTTCTCATTATTGTCTGCTAGCACTGTGATAGCATTTGATGCGTCTAACCGACTAGTCCAAAAAGATACCTTGATGATCTAGGCGAATTTATTTAGTCTTTCATGTACTGCATGTCATCAACGCTGCAGGCTTCGGAGTAAACCAGATGGTGGGACACGTTGACTTCTATCCCAACAACGGCAACAACCAGCCCGGCTGCCAGAGGTACAACTTTCGGAAGTTTGTCGACGAAGGTGGTCTCATTGAAGGTGAGAAAATGACCGAAAGAGCTCCAAGACAATGGCCTGTAAATGATTGCATACATGACATGCATATCACGATTATCATGCTTGAACCTTCGATTTATGTATCGAAGATGATGAAATTTAAGCATTCATTTTTTGTTACACACACCCTTATTAAGAACTAATGGGCACTCTACCCATGGAAAGTATAGGGGATGTTATTTGCAGTATTTATTATTTGCTATTTCTTACTTGGCGCCAGTGGAAACCGAACGTGCAAAATGTCAATAACACATCTCGTGCTCCAACAAGTGAGATACGGTGGCGGTAATCCTCGCGTACACTTTACCTGGTATATATGCGTTTAAGCCTGATTCTGTTAGTTGGTACCTCTTGTAGGCATGATGGCGAAGGTGGAGCAAATTTTCTTGCCTGCTGGTGAATGTATGTTACCTCTCAGTAAGAATTTTCGCTGGAGGCAAAATTGCTTGTGGTCTGTGGGCATGGATTTGGGTGCACGTTGAAGAATATCCGGTGGTCAAACTTGCCGGAGCCCTCCACTGCGGCTTCCCTTGGTTATGTGGTTGTTTCGGGACGTTAAACCCCAGTAATTGGGAATGTTATGTTTACCATAAAACGATGTCTTAATATACCAATTGAGGTATGTATTCTGTTAAATAACGGCCACGAGAGCAGAGTCACAGGCGGCTAGAAGATTGATGAAAAGATAGATGTGCTCAAGGAGACTCGAGTCTCCCTGAAAAATGCCTCACATGCCTTTTTTGTTTATTTCTACGCAGGCGTGCGCCGTTTGAGTTCGTGCGACCACATCCGTTCGCTGGACTACTACATGGAGTCCATCACCCGCGACATGCGCTGCCTTCCGGTGGCCGTGTCGTGTCCCTCCTGGGAGGAGTTCGAGGCCGGCCGGTGCTCGCGCTGCGGCGGCAAGGACTCTCACTGCGCCGTCATGGGCTTCTACTCGGACCGCATGAAGACCAGCGCCGAAGGGCAGCGCATGGGGCGCAAGCTGTACCTCAAGACCAACGACGGCCACCCGTTTTGTTGTGCGTACATATTTTTTACGGCAGCACAGTATTTACAACGAGGTATCTATTTGAGCTAGTTGGCACATGATTGTACCCGATAAAACCAGCAATGAACACAGAAGGTGACGAAATGAACTCTATTTTTCTGCTTTTAGTTAGAACTACAAAACATGAAAGTGGATGAAAGTATCGCTGATGTTATTGGAAGTAAAAAAAAGGGGCTCTTGATTAATTCAGTTATGCCTGGGTGTACTTAGCGAGAGGTAGGGTTAATCCTCGATCTTAATCATCTGTACGGTTTCGCTTCTTGAGGCGTGCGGCTCGTCCTTCCTCCTTCTCCTGGGCTTGCTGCCTCCTCTTGGTTTCGTTGCGACTCGTAAGCCTCGCCTCCATACATACGACGAAATGCCAGCTCCCCCTTCGAGTTCATGCCAGATGGCGTGGCGAGCGGCGTTGCAAGCTGCGGTGGTTGCTGCTATAGACAATGGCTACGCCCGTGGTGGAGCCACCTGCAACAGTGAAACGACGAAAATACGGCTAATTTAGCTCTCGTTACAATAAATATAAATGCGAAAAGAGTAACTAGGATAAAAAGAACTTGCCGCTAGCAGGGACTGAACCCACGACCTTCGAATAACGCGTCAGATGCTCATTATTCTAAGGTCACAGATTCGGCCCCTGCCAGAAGCAAGTAATACTTTTGTCCACCTTTAAATATTCCCTTTTATATCGTAATGAGACTACACATAGCATCCCCTATACCTTCAATTACTTTCATGTCTGTCAGCTGTAATTATTCTTGTGTCTAACAAAGAAAGACGAGGCATGAAATTCCCCCTTCTTTCGTTTTTTCTGTGTTGTTCCTTGCTGGTTTATTGTTTACATTGGTTACTTAACTATTGCACCCCAAAGATTTAAAGCCTTGCAGCACGGCGGGGCGGTTCGAAATTTCACCATGTGCACTTTGCAGAATATCATACGATTTACGCTGGAAGCTACGTAGGATGAATAGAGTTCGTGTGAAGAACAACGTTTTAATATGAATTACCATGCTGCGCACGTGTACAGAAGCCACTCCACAGGTTTTATCGAAATAAAACAATCTTATTCACTCACAATTCTAGAAATGAAATATTACGACGTTACACTATAGATGTGTGTACTGCAAGGAAAAAAAGTATATTAGGAAATATGCACTGGTTAAGATTGTAGTAAAATAAAGCAGTAGTCGAAGTCGATGTACGGTTTTGTTAAAGCGTGAAATTTGAGGCTAGATTACGAATTTAGAAGTTCATAAAGTTCACATTTGGCAAGCACTCTCAAATTATGACAGGTAGATTGCCACTATCCCTCAAGAGGAAGGCATATAACAGCTGTATCTTGCCGGTACTTAGCTACGGAGCAGAAACCTGGAGACTTACAAAGAGGGTTCAGCTTAAATTGAGGATAACGCAGCGAGCAATGGAAAGAAAAATGGTAGGTGTAACCTTAAGAGACAAGAAGAGAGCAGAGTGGATTAGGAAACAAACGGGGGTTAAGGATATCATAGTTGAAATCAAGAAGAGGAAATGGACATGGGCCGGGCATGTAGCGCGTAGACAGGATAACCACTGGTCATTAAGGGTAACTAACTGGATTCCCAGAGAAGGCATGCGAGTTAGGGGGAGACAGAAGGTTAGGTGGGTAGATGAGATTAAGAAGTTTGCGGCTATAAATTGGCAGCTGCAAGCACAGGACCGGGTTAACTGGCGTAACATGGGAGAGGCCTTTGTCCTGCAGTGGACGTAATCAGGCTGATAATGATGAAACAGTCAAGCTAATACTGTAACCTAGACATTAATGAAGGAGCGACCCACATGACTACATGATTTTGGCCGACTTTCTTTGTGCAAGCTTCATGCATCCTGATTTGGAAGTAGCTATGTTTTCGTCGTGAACGCAGCGGTGTGCTGTGGACACTGGCCGAAACGATACCACGTCGTCTTACAAAGGGAAACCGGTTCGCAGCTTCGATGACGTGACACTACTGTTACCTCGAATCGCAGGACGCATGTACAGTACTTGAAGATAGAAACAGGAAAAAAGCAGGCCTAAGTAAGGCACGTCGTTCTAGCGTCTAGAGTGGGCCGTATAAGCTTGATTTTAACTCAGACGCTTACATGAGAGCGTTTAGCAACAAGATTTGCCGAGGCCTAACGTGGTTATCACGTGCGAGGGCTTGTAGCAGTTGTTATGCAAAAAGAAAGCAAACAAAAAAGAGAAAAGGATGGCTCGTTTCAATCTGCGAGTACTCTACATGAAGCGCTTGCCTACACAACGTACAATATCCTGATCTCAATGCAGGTCATGGATAGGTGTTGTCTCCGGTACGCTGCTTAGGATCCATAGCGAAAAGTGCCGATAAACTTGTGCAGCATCCGGTATGCGTGTTGCCTATCGAAGCCAGCTCAGGCAACAGCCTCCCAACAAATGCACTTCCTGTTCCAATAATAAATGAATTTTGCACCCCATCAAATGGGGTGCTCTGACTCACATGAGACGCGTTCACGAAGTTGAGTCCAGCAAAGAGCTGCGGCATTGATGAAGTGGTGGGGTTGGGGGAGGAGGAAAGAGCGGGGGTGGAATATTTTAGACAAAATGTCGGCTGATGGTGGCATTAAAAAAAACGCCTTCCCCAAATCTACTTTGAGAGATTTTTGAAGGGGACTAGTCTCCAGGATTAGAGATGCATCACGATACCGATCCACGCAATAGGGAGTTTCCGAATAGCGTCCCCAAATAAGCACCGTCAAGGCTATTGGCCATGCGCGAGACCCAAACAGGGTTTGAGCTTTGCGTTGGGTACGCTGTTTCCCGAATTTAAAAGACCCCTGGCGCCCGATTCGGAAACTCGAGATGCTTGTGTTGTTTGATAGTTTTGCATGCGGGGACACCTCTGGTCGATTACTAGTGGCCCGCGTAGCATAGAAAGTATTTTTATTTCGTTTTAAAGTAAGGGCACGTGCTCTTCCGAGTATTCAGGTGCAATTGACAATTTCTGTGGTTTGACGTAGACTGGGACTCCCCTTGTGACGTTGCTGGGTCAACATTCGCAGGGGCGCGCACAATACCCCGACTGGCACCTGGCGAGGACTATTGTTCGTCACCCCTCTTGCTCTGTTGCCGGGCTGCTCTCAAGGTGGTTTTGGGTGGTTACGTCAGGAACGCTTTTCTTTTTTGTGAATGGGACACGCTCAAAGTGTCCACATCGTTTCATTCTTCACCACACGCAAGTTGCCCTATTGCATAAAGTCCCCCCCCCCCCCCTCCCGTTTTCAGAAACGCTGCTTGACTTGATTTTGACATGCCACCGACTTCAATGCAGCACAAACGTGTTTTGAACGCTCTGTCTTTAGGTCGTGCCAAGGCAGCACAAACGCGCAGACGAGTAGCGAACGCGCTGCATTGACGGTGGTTTCAAGTGAAGTTTAAGTCAAGTAGCGTTTCTCAATACGCGGTGGGTCAGGCGCTGCTCCGCTGTGGGTAGCTAGTTTCTTACGGTATTTAGGAATGCGTTTCAAACTGACGCAAAATCGTTCCGAGTTAACGCCGCTAACATGAAATATACCATGAGTTAAAGCATTTACGATGAAAAATTGCATTACCAGACGCGACACCACCCACTGAACGTGACAGCACCCACTGAAGGAGCAGCTGTCGGTCAAGACTGCACGGCAAGTGTCCGATGTGCCGCACACTATATTCGAAAACTCTTATTAGCGTCTGATTAATCCAAAGCGGACACACTCAAAGGGATTTGGGGTCCGGAACTTTTGGGGCCTCTATTCGAGAATTCCTTGATGACTGAAATATTCATGGCAGTCGCGAAATTGTTCGGCGGTTACGTTTCAATACAATACGACCTCATGGGGCGTCACGGTAAAAAAAAATCCAAAAACAGGTCACATCTGCGTAGCCTAATAATCACAATAAACGGGAAAGTGATGCGAACACCACCTACCAGTGCCGTAAGCAGTTGCAAAGCGATAAAATAAAATACGGGACAGAGAATGGCATGAGTGGGCCGCTAACGGAAGGTCAGTGGGCCATAAAACCTGCCATAAAGTGAAAGCTTGTCCGGAGCACATTTCACCACGCGGCAGTCGATTGAACACTTCATCACATCTAAATGCGGCCCCCGAGACAATCTACCAGCGAACAATCTTAGAAGCCGCGCCTTCGAACGGCCTCTTTTTAGCGTTGTCCGTGAGCTGGCGCTACGTACGTGTGGTGGAAGTGTGCTCGTTACATGAAGGAAGGAATGACTCGTTAGTTGAAAAAATGCCCTCACTGCGCGGCTCGGCCTTCGAGATTCAACGCGATATGGGGCTGCATGCCTTACCGGGTCTCGAAGGCTGTGATTGACGTGACGTATCATTATTATCCGGTATACCTTCAACCATTCGGTAGAGAAATACGGGGCACATTTTATGCCGTATAATACGAAAGACAGTCTCGGTCTTGTACTCATGGCACAAGTTTGGGGGGTCTTATATTTCGTGTGTGTTCGCATTGTCTCACCGTATAAGTTGTTCGTATCTTCCGGTGTGACGAAGACATCGAAAGTGAAAGCAGACCAATGGAGGACGCATTAAATGAAGAGTTGCTCAGGCTAGAAGTGGACAAAGTGAAAGCCGTGGTTTGTAGCTTTACTTTCTGTATTGGTAACGCGTGACGTAGTTAAACAAGTGGCAGCGGATTTGACTTCTGTTAAACCGTTCTACACATCGGCGTTACTTTTCAGGGTAACTCGGTTGCCTCGCGGTGGTGTAACGTGAAGAGTTAACGGGGATTTCCGGCATATAATCGGCGTAGCCGTAGAAGGGGTGCATAGTAGGTGGGTTCAACCCCCCCCCCCCCCCCAATCCTTGTCAATTCAGAAAGTTAGGAAGTTGAACTTTTAAAATATTTTCTTGTTATTAATACATATGGTCAAAAACATGCGAGCAATTGAGTACCCCCTTCCAGAAAAAACCCTCATATATGGGGAGGATTTTTTTGTTTCGATGTGCAATGAAGCTTTAGAATGAACCTCATGAGACCTGCAAAAAATTCGTTGAAGTTTGCTGAACAGAAATACGTAGCAAGTTATTTTGAGGGTAACTTAATTTCTTCACGACGGAAAATACGATGAACTGTCTTGCGAACCTGCGTTACTGAACCTGTGCATAATATATTTTTCTTCACACCTATAGCGTGCGAGAAGACAGAACAATGAAACGACCTTGCTACAGCAGCCTTTTTCTTTTTTGTCACCATATTTTTGTCACCATATAGCTACCCCAGTGACAGTTGCAATCTTTCTCAAAAGCTCTTTAGTGTGCCGTATTTTCTGTACAATTGATTGCAGGATAAACTGACTTTTATTGCGATCGAATTTATATGGACACTCTCGGTTGGATTTCGCCGTCGGCGTCGATGTCATACACCGTATATGTATACGTATCTATTTATATGAAAACACAATAAAGAAAAAGTCCAGAAAAAAAAACTCTGGGGCGCGGAATAAAACGTGGGACCTCCGCGTCGCGAATGCGAGGCGTTAACCACTGAGCCACCGGGAAGTACCTCCTTCAACGCTCAAACGGCAAGCTGTTGGCGGGCATCTCGGGGGGGGGGGGGGATGGTATCGTGTTTTCAGCATTATCAGCAAGATGGCGCATTGAGAGCGTGGTGGCTCTCATATCTCCCGTGTACTTTGGCCCGCGGAGAGGAGTGGAGGATGTCTCGCGTGCCTTTATCTCCCAGTGGGGGGGGGGGGTTCATGCGTCTTGGCTGGCGTTTTGCTTGCACTAGAACGATTCTGTTGTAGTTACGGGCCGCACAAAGGTCACTGCAATCTGCACAGCTATTGTTTGCGAAATGGGCGCGCTTTTCAGACGCAGCGAAGTAACAACTGAGACGCTTATTCGTGTTCATCTGTACCTGTGAGTGCGTTTCGTGCGTCATTTGTCCGTGAGAAACACGGGGCACGTTTTGATCTGCTCGCCATTCTGCGCGGGACCTTCCAGTTTGTTGTTATCGTGTTCATTGCTTCACCTTTGCGGCAAAGCTGTGACTTTTTTTGAAAAAAAAAACTCACTGGTGGTCCTTTTTTCGTGTTTTTTTCTGCACCATAAGCTCGTTAAGAATGAACCAACTCGTCCAACAAGTATACGCAACTGTATTCCGCCTGCGATACGAAGCATGTGCAGCAATGTAATTGACCTGGTGCTCTCATAAGCTAGACAAGTCAATAGCAAGTAACCCCATGACAACTCAGAAGCTCTATGCACGGATCTCGTGATAACTCTGCGCATAAGAGGGTGGATGGTCTTCCAATAGGAGGTGGAAAATATTGTTACGGGGTCAGTGACTTTTGTGTAAACGCAATTACAGAGGAACAACCTCAGGCGAGAATCACCATGGCTGATTGGCACACTCGCGCGCCTGTCAGCTGATTCCGTCCTTCATCTTCCTTTACTTCGTAACAATATTATGAAGTGCTCCTCCCCCCCCCCCCATCCTGTTCATCGAATATCAAAGAGAAGAAGCCTTTTAATCGATGCAAAAATAGTGAAGGCCATGACAAGTCTCTCACAGCTTATAGCCTTAAGTCCCTGGCTTTCCAGATGTAAAGTTAGGCAGCAGAGTTTGACTGCTGTACTGTTTGTTAATAGTTGTCGCGGTTTATTATTTTAAATGTGAAGGAATTTTTAGCGAACTTCAGGGATTTTTACTGTATCTACCTGTCTATCTAGCTGCCTACAACTTTTAGCTCGAAACCAAAATTGGTATGGCAGAACATGACTGTAACACGAGCGTAAGTGGCTAGTCACCACATGGAAATCATTGCATGCATGTCATGAGTGTCATGATTGACAAGTCATGATTTACACTGCAAAAGCAACAAGATTGCCACAGGAGTAGTGGTTTCGTTCGCATGACATATTGCAAAACTGGTATGTGACTGCACGGCGAACAGCAGTGACCGGATCTAACATATACAAGATATGAGGCTACTTTCACCCCCTTCCCGCCCCCCGTTATTTCGGGGGGTGCGACACTCCTGCACCCTCTTTGTGCTCGCCAGTGACTCTACTCTGTCATACCTTTTTGCACGCCCAGTGCACCAGTACCAGGTGGCTGTCCAGATGTCCAAGACTCCCAAGAGAGCAGTGTGGGACGCCTTCGGACAACTCTACCTCAACCTAAAGGGAAAGTTTCATGTCAGGCTTGGAAACAGGTTTGTCTCTCTCCCGTTTGTGCTTGTTAACGCGCCACACACTGTCCCACGGGGGCTTGAACCGGCAGCGGAGGACGCCACAGGGCTTGGTCTTCTAAGGTCCCTATCGTGGCTTGTGGCGATGGACGGGCTCTGAAGTGCACGCGTGCGCATGGCATGTATAGCTTAAAATAGGCGTTGGGCTCATGCAAAATGCGTCGGCGGGTGCACATTGGACGTGTATATGGTAAGTAGACGCACACATTTTTGTTAATTACGTGCTTTTCCCCCCTCTCCGTGTATATCAGGACTTATTTTACTTCTTAGTATGACGTGGGTTAACTACATTGAGTGGCGTCTTATCAATTAGTTAAATCATTCAGCATTCACCGATATAAGTACCTTAGGTACTGGTACAGCTGCAGCTATAGAGTGGCGGAACATGGGAGAGGCCTTTGCCTTGCAGTGGGCGTAGTCAATTGAATGATGATGATGATGGAATACGAACGTATTTCGGAAACGTTCCGACCAATCGATCAAGTGAGGGGGTTTATCCTGGTGAATGCAACACAAACAATGGTGCCTAAGGCATGTTTTGTCATCTTTGGGCATTCTCCACCGCATTCAAAACCTGAAGTCAAAAGAAAGGGGATCACTTTTCAGAAAGGTGAGTGAACTCGTTAGGGAAGTACAGGGAGCTTTACCGGAATTATTAATAGTGGCTACTTTGAAATGGGGAACGAGAAGAGGAACTGAAATATGCGAAAGGGCTTTCGCTGTGCAACGCCACAAAACTACGCGCACATGTTCACACTTGCACGCTCGCACTCGCACATTCACAAGCACGTGTTTGCACTCGCACATACGCTCGCACATACAAGCATAAATTTTTATCTCGTCACAGGTGGTCACATCAGCCAGTTAATCAAGTAGAAAAGTAACGCTTTTGTATCACTGTGTGTCGTAGGAGCTCGGAAGTGTCATTCCCATATCTCTTTCGTAAACGAACTTTTGTAGCATTGCACATCGTAGGTGCTCGAAAGCGTCATTCCCATATCCCTTTCGTAAACGAGCGTAGTCACTTATTGGCATTTCTACTTTTCTTGCGCTCACATTTTGCTACGTGTGTAGGCCTCAGGACATCCGCGGTGGACGTCGGTACACTTACTACGTGACCACCCGGGAGGAAGTTGCGGACGCCGGAGAGCTGGGGCTGAAGTGGAACAACATGGATCCGGAGGTGGACAACCAACTGTTCGTGCACTCAGTCAAGCTGCGGCCCTTCGACAGCTACTTCAAGCGGTCTGAACTTCCTCGCAACTGCGAGAATATCTGCGCATTACGCGACATTCTGAATTACCTTTACATAGACAGCACCGGCGTAGTGTTCACGTACAAGCCCGGACACTAGATAAGCAGTAACTATGGTTCGACACTGAGCTCTGGAGTTGCAATCAATATGAACAAGTGAATTTATTTCGCCAGGCAACCTTTAGCGAGTCACCCTGCCTTGGAACCAGACATGCATATTCTTGAACAGGAGGCTCGTTGTAGCGAACATATCGACAAGGTGTCTCGTCTTCAAGCCAGCAGCTGCAACTGCTGCTGTCTTGAAGCCAGCAAAAGCAATGTAGCAGCTGTTCCAGTTGTTGTATTAAAAACATGACCAGATGTTGAAACATTCGTTCCAGCAACACCCTGTGCTCGAGAAAATTAATCTCTTGAAGCTTTAAGTTTTAATCTTCTCCCGAATGGACTTGTGTGACAATAAACCAGATGTCTCTTTAATATGCTCAAAAGTGAAATGATTTACATAAACCATAAGGATTTGCGTGCGTTATTCAACTTAAATGGTAAGTACAGCGCAAAATTAGTTCGATCCACAGCTTGTTACTTTCCGAATAATTCTCGCACTGTACTTTTCCCATGAAATCATTAGGTGTTTCGCTGAAATCGGGAGAATATTGCAATTCTTGAATCCAATGTCTAATAGTGGCTTGTTTTCACATAGCATTTGTAAGGCCTGGTGTATTAAGTGTTCGTCACACTGCCGAAGTATATCTCGGAGGCCACGTACAGAGAAGCACAGGCTTCAGATCTGCTCCGCCAGGTGCCCTAACAATCGCAGCTGCTGACAACCTCTCAACCAGCCTAGTCAAATAGCTTTTTATTGATAATCATGGTAGTATTGGCCCTTATAGGTGATGCTCAATATTATATGTATGCAGTGTAACTCTCCTCTTGAACCAGAACCGCCGACTTCCAGTCCTAGAAGACTCGCTATGAATATGTGAAAAACGCGAAGAGCTGCCATTAACCTGCTTGAAAAAGAAACAAGCCACGTGTTTATGGCGTCACCTCAAACGCTGAAACAACAATCCCTCGCGTTGTATCTTTTCCATAAAGGCCTGACTGCATGTGTGTGAGCGCGTACGTCCGGTCAGGCCTTGGTGTTTACGTTCGTGTCACTTCCCGAGCACGTTTTGATGCTCTCTTTTCGTCATCTTACTTACAGGGGCAAGAAGAGTCTGACTCAGACTCTGTACTGCGCCAACAACTCCTACGCTCTTCAATCGGGGGAGGAGCTGTTCCTGCGAGAAACCGACTCCTGTCCCGACTATTGAGGCTGCTATTGGGAGCGAAGCTCTGCGAACATGTGCCGTGAAGTTCATTCTCGAGCGTTCCGCGCAGTTCATCTGTTCCATCCTTAGGAAAAACATAGAACTCTTGTCATTACTCTACCGGAGGAATGACGTCATCTGTGCCATGACATCGTCATCGAGATCATTCAGTGCCAGCAAGACACTTTCACCCATTTTTAGTGTGTTTTCATCTGCAGTGCATCGTTTCTTTTTATTTCTCAGGAAAAGCGTGAAGGGCGGAGTACCACTATAGACCACATGACGTTTGATTTAAGCGAACTTTGTGGACGTGCATCCGTTTGTTGGTGTTGATGTAAAACATTACGCTCAACGCCGTGTCACAGCCAGGACAAATATTTTTTTTTCCTTGTCGCCAGAATAAAAACACTCAGGGGTGCCTGGTGCAGTACAATGTATTCAGACATTGCAATAACTCATAAACACAAGATTTGAGCAGCCATCATCAAAAGCTCTGTTCCCAGAATACGCTGAAGTTTCGGTATCTTTTAAAACTGGTGCTTGGTGTGCCTGCAAGCTTTCCTTTAAGATTAGGACGTAAACACTTCCTTCTGGATGCTCTACTGACCGAGCTTATTTGTCTCTACGTTTTTAGTTATGACAGTCATGCGGCAGTCTGCAGACTCTGTGCGTGATTCAGCAACACTTTGCGAAATACATTTCTTGGGTAATATTGTATGAAGGTCGACCATCGTCATGCCACTTGGTGTCTGTCCAATGAAAATGCATTTTGCACGAATTAAAAAAAAGCATTCTCAATACCACGCAAAGTGTACTGGATGCAGAATTCAGTCACACACTTCTGAATAATGAACGCTGGCGTTACAAGTTTATTATGCACAGAAAAATGCTGTAATGACTCACGATTAAAGAGAACCGACAGATCCCATGCCCTGTGGGTATCGATGTAATGCGAAACAGCCGACAAGTATCCAATGCATGCTGGTATGACACGCCTTTCGCGATTTGCATGTTAGGACCTGCCATTTGTGTTGCTCTTACAGCCACAGCATGCCACGCCAATTTTGCGGTAAATCAAACTAGTGAACCGATCGTGAACGCTCGGTGAACGTGGCATGTACTGCACGCCGTAGATGAAATGCACGCCATAATTTTCACGTTACCAACTGCCATATGTGTTTGCTGTACAGTCACGTAGTGCAATACAGATTTTGGTGTATTTCAAGCTAGCAAACCTGCCGCGAGGGCACCTCAGGCATGGCATGCGATTGATGCCATACATGGCACGACACAAATTATTCGTGGAGTATTTTGCTACGTGTCATATGCCTGGTGAAGTTAAACATTGCATATGAGGCATTTGTGCAGTAATTTCAAAATATTTTTTTTGTTTTTTAGCATGCTCGCTGCCAAAAAATTATTATTGCATGTAATTTGAGTGGGTGGCTTGATTCGTTATACTGACGCTTTTAATTTAAACTTAGTATTCAGAAGGGGGGTGTTCAGTTCAATAATTTTCACGTATTCATGAATACTATCTTGTAATGCGTCTCGCGAAAGGGCTAAATTTGGAGTTTATAGCGCTGCTAAGCTCCATTCACCGGTAGAGACCGACATTTTCACATGCAATGCGGAATGTTTCATAACGAAAGGCTATAAAACAGTGAGATAACACGCTGGACGGATCGCTGTGTACACTTGGCCTTCCAAGTGAGAGCGTGAGCGATATGATGTGATACATGAAGAAAGTTGGCAAGCATAATATTAAAGAACCAAACTGATTACAAGCGACGGTAGACTATACCCAAACTTAGGGCTCCTTGTGGTATTTCGTGTGGTTGTACATTTAGTTAGGTGATTAAGAGCAGCAGGAGAACACCAAGAGGAGCTTGAAAAAAAAGCGGTATGGTGGCTGTATTGTTTCACTGTTCTTGCAATCACTCCTTCTGTCGGCAGTACAAATACGCAGCTAAGCTTTGTCATAAAAAGTCTACAAAGTCGGCAATTTACATCGTCATATCAAATTTTTGTTGAAATGCAATGTGGCTTTTTAGGCGAAGTGCAGTCGCGTAAGGTTTTTTGTTTCTAGCATGGGAAATGCTTGAACACTGCTTGGACAGCGCGGCACTGCAAATAACTCGCTTCATAACGCAAAGTGAGCACACACGCGGACAAACGCGCACACACGCGCACACACGCACACACACACGCACGCACGCACACGCGCGCGAACACACACAAACACAAACACACACAAACATACACACACAAAACACACACATAAACACACACGCACACACACACACACACACACACACACACACACACACACACACACACACACACACACACACACACACACACACACACACACACACACACACACACACACACACACACACACACACACACACACACACACACACACACACACACACACACACACACACACACACACACACACACACACACACACACACACACACACACACACACACACACTGCCTTAATGATTTAGGGTTCTCATATAATAATGGGTATTTTCAGCTTACCCTTCTAAATTTAGTCTGCCTAACGTTCAACGTTGAAATTCTTTCGACAATGCTGTGCTATAGCCCCCGATACATTCTCTATTTAAATGCGAAGAATTTCTAAGCGAAGTGCAGGCACTGTATCTGGTCGCCGACGTCTGGGTGCTCTGGTGATTACCTTCCTTTAACTTCGTGTAGGCAGACATTGGCATGGGAAGGTAAAAGACTGAAGGATATGGCTGTCTGGGCTCCTCATACATATCACCATCTACATATCCCCCTATCTAATACCACCTCCAGGCCCGTAGCTAAGCAGGGTGCCCTAGGGCCCTTCGCACCATCACCGCCCACACGAAATTCGGATGGAGAGAGTCTTATAGGGAGGACAAGTAATGAAAATGTTTACGTATATTTTTAATTTCAACCACTGCTTGGTCGGACTCAGCCCCCGTAATGTTTTACCTTGCGTGAGACTCGATGAACGAGAGCTCTGCAAAGCTGAAATATTCTGGCGCCACCACGAAAGGGCGTTAATATGTGGTCATGAAATTTTGCTGCTTGAGCAGCCAGATTGCACGTTCAACTTCCCGCCACCGTGGCTCGAATGGTGTTTTCTTGGTGGTTGTTTGTGGTTTTTTCCTCTCACAGGAAATACATCGTAAAACATGTCAAGACGTCATATACCCCACAAGGCAGTAGTTGTCCGTGCGCTGGCAGGCATGCGTTTTGGTTTTGTAGTTTTAACAGTACTGCCAATCAAGTTGTCGCCGAGTGTAGTGTGTCACAGGTTGGGTTCAATGAGGCTGCACCTGAAGCCATGAGGAAGACGCTCAACCCTTTGTCCGAACATTGACTCCAGCTACTCTCCGTGTTCTACCTTTAAGAAAGTAGGACCAATTGGTCGTAGCGTTGACTCCAGTGACACCCAGTATTGTGGAATACTGATCCCATAGTTTGGGTTTGTAAGTACGTTAGGCTGGCTCATGGTGTGAAAACAAAGGAGGAGCACTCCCTTAGGTCGTTGCTCAAAGAGTAATAATTTACGTTGTGTGTAGTTTTCGCACGTTGTGCCCCATAATTCAACTTTTATTTATGCGATTTAGACCGTGTCAGTCGATCGTATTGAAGGGCCAATTTATCGTGTTCCTCCCAGAGCTAAGTTTAGCACGAAATGTCTGATCTACTTTATTTGACCTGGAATATACAGAAAAATTACAATGAAAGTAGAGGCAGTAAGGAAAGGCGATGGCAGTGTTCTGCGTGTAGGCAATGAGCAAAAAAAAAAAAAAGAAATGCGCTATGCAACGCATTTGCAAAATGCTTAGAGACCTCGCAAGCTTCGAAAGAATGCCTATTGATGAAGTGAAAGTATGCCCGACTTTAACACTCACGAAAAGGACCGAGGCGGACGTGACCCAAAAGCGAGACTTGGCACCGCAAATGACTCCAGTGTCGTTTCGAAAGGGGATATCTAGAACAATGCACCGTTACGTAAGTGCAAGTTTCCCTTTTCTCCGTCTGTGTTATTTGTGTGTTCTCGGTGTAGAGGGTAAAGGAGGAAGCCCTGAGGACTTCCTGCGGACTCTCTGTAGTCTGAGGGTACAAATGGCATGACACGGAAGAGGCGTTATGTTATGTAATAACACCGTAGGGCTGGCTTCTGGCATGCAAACCACTCTTAGTAAACGCACCGCAACTGTTAAATAAGTCTATCCTTCACGCAAGAAAGCACTGGTTTGGGCCGGTTGCACTTTCTGTGTAGGGTTTATTTGATATTTGCTTCCGAGTTTTATTGCCTTATCCAGTTTTGCTAAAGAGTCAAAGACAAGCGAACGAAGAGATGAACGGAGGCACCGCTATCAAACGAGCCAGCAAGCAAGAAGAATAAAAGAAAACAAAAAACTACGAAGCAACTAAACAAAGGAAGATAATCCGGTATGCAAATAAACACAGAGCTTTTCCATGCGTACAAAATAAGGGTGAGAAGAGTGAGTACATGTTACGTGGAACGCTTGCCGAGAGCTTCTTATTTCGCTGCGCCCTCCTTACCTAATGACATCTATTACGGCGCTCACTCTAAGCACAGCTGGCCTATTTGCATCTGCTTCCAAACAGAGGGACTTCCCTTCCTTCCGAGACGCAGGATATAACGTACTAACGAATCATGCCGGCTGGTTGTTGTCGGGGGGCCACCGCTGCGTTCCGGCAGCCGGTCTAGCACAGCAACGGATGTTCGAGAGGGAAAATATTAATAAAGCGTGGAAAGGAAAGAAGCGGACAGAACTGGGGCGTCTTGATTTTGGGTGCTGATCGCACACTACCCCAATGGGTAACAGGTGGAAGTGGGAGAGGGGTGTGGTATGCGAGTGAAGGAGAGGAGGGTAGGTCAGGCGGCTGCCAGTTCTTGCCCGTCGGCCGCCGGAATCGGCCCAACCCCCCCTTTTGCGGGTCGGCGCGCGTCGCGGTCTTGAAGTGCTGCACTACTAATACTACCGGCCCGCTTCTGATTCCGGCCTTGCCGTTTTGCGACGTTGCGGTCGTTGCGCTGCGGTCTCCGTCGAAGAAGAAGAGGCGGTTCGTCACGTGACAACCTGTTTCTTCCTTCCATGCGGAGTCGTGTGTATCGTACGCTGGTGCGTGACTGCAGGTACCGGTGCGCGTTCCTTCTGAGGAGTCATGAGATCGGTGAGAGAAGACGTGCATTGCTGCTAGAGACGGCATGGGTGGCAGTGTGGCTGAATTGACGAACAACGCTGGATGGACTGTCAAGCCTGCAGTGTCCAGAGCTGAACGTCATCCTCGTGCCCCTATGCGCTTCAAACGGCGCGAAGACAGAGATTAGGAGATTGGTACGTTGACCTTCGTTACGGTTTATCGGTCACCCGCTGCGGTAGTCTAGAGGTCCTTGTGCTCTACTGCTGAATGCGAGGTCATGGGTTGAAATCCCGACCATGGCAGCCCCATTTTATGGCAGTGAAATTTCAGAGGTTTACGTGCTTCAATTTAGGTGCACGTCGGATAACCCCAAGTGGTCGAAAGTTACAAAGCCCTGCATTACGGTGTCCCTGATAATCGTATCATGAACGTAAAAGCCCGAAAACTATTGTTATGCAGTTCGTTGGTTTCTTTGGTGTTTTGAGTTACGCTTATAAAGTTCCAAACTTCTACCGCTGTTACTGGGACAGGATATCGCAAAATCAATACTGATAAGACATCTTAGTTGGCATTGGACTAGATAAGCACTTGCGATAAACAGTAATGGGCAGCCTTAT